TTTGTCTGTGTTTTCCTTGATCTGTCTCTCAATCCTTTGAAGATACCTAAATATGATTCTTTTGAATTTCTTATCAGGGAGTTCCTCCAATGCTGTGTCTTCCTCAGGGATGTATTTTGGGTCGGTATCCTGGTCCCTTGTTTCTCCTGCTTTATTTTGCTTCTTTGTGTGGACTGTGATGTTCTGTTGTCTCCAAGGCATTGTGACGTTTTTGTGTTTATATTTAATTGGTGATTGTATGTTGGAGTGACTTGCCCACAATTTTGTTTTCCTTGTATGTTATCTATAGAAGCAGGTTACAGTGCTGTGCTCCTCTGTTCACTAGTTGACAGCACTTTTACATTCACCACCTGTCTCCTTTCCTGTTATCAGCCTCTTGTATGTGCCCACCGATCTTGGCAAACAAAGCCTATTCTTAAGTCCCTGGAATCCGAATGAGAGTGCTATCACTTTAAAATCCCAAATGGTTGCCACTTGTAAAGATTCAAAATGGCTACACCCTCAGTCACTTTAAATATCCAAAATGGCTGTCACCTGGAAACAAGCAAAATGGCTGCAGCCTTTGGACAGTGGAAAGTCCACAGCTCAGGTTGTGTCTCTCCTTGCTGTTTCCCTTCCTAGTCATAGGCCACCAGTGCAGTCATCCCTGCAGCCCTTGGTGACCAGGGCTGATCCCAACAGCCCTGGAAAAATTCAGGCTGTTGGTTCCATCAGAGTAGCTGCCAGTCCACAGCTCCGACCATCTCTGCACTCACTGTTTTTGTTCAGATTTTTCCACTAGTTGGTGCCTAATCCACTTCTGTTTAGTTCCTTTCAAAGCTCAGGGCTCAAAGATTATATTCTGTATCTCTGTCAATTGGTTTTTGTTTTCTTTGTTGAAGAGGGTTTGTGTTGCTTATTGTCTTATTGTCTGCCTATTCCTCCATATTACCGGAAGTCCACTTTCACATTTTTAAGTATTTGTTATAGCACCTGTATCGTGATACCAAAATCTGTATTAGTTTCCCAGGGCTACTGTAACAAATTACCATAAAACAGGTGAAACTACAGAAATTTATTCTCTCACAGTTTAGAAGCTACAAGTTCAAAATCATAGTGTTGACAGGGCCATGCTCTCTCAGAAGGCTGTAGGGAAAGACCCTTACTTGACTCTTCTTGCTTCTGGTGGTTGCTGGCAACCCTTGGCATTCCTTGGTTTGTCGCAGTATAACTCCAAGCTCTGCCTACCTCTCCACATGGCTGTCTTCTATGTCTGTGTGTCTGTTTTCTTATAAGGATGCTAGTCATTGGATTAGGACTGAACCTACTCAAGTATGACCTCAGATTAACTAATTACATCTGAAAAGATCCTATTTCCAAATATGGTCATATTCTGAGGTTCTGAGTAGACATGAGTTTTGGGGGAACACTGTTCAACCCAGCACACTCACTCTGGTCAGGCTTCTGCTTCCACATTGCACAAAACTGTTGTTACCACGGTCAGCAATAACCTCTGCCTTGCCAAGTCCATGGTCAGTTCTGTTTTCATTTTCTTATCTTAGCAGCATTTGTCTCGGTTGAATACTTTCTGCTGAGTTTCGTTGTACCTGTTGACTGCACCTTCTTATTCTGCTTTGCTAGTTTCACTTCATTTGATCAATCTCTAAATTTTGAAGTGTTCAGGATTTCCACCTCTATTTATCTTCATTCTTAATTCTCTATCTTAATTCTCCACACAATGTCATCTAGTTTCCTAGCTTTAAGTATGATAGTGATGACCTCCACACACATGTTCTCAGAGTCTTGTGTTTAACTTCCTGCTCAACATGTACACTTGGATGTATACAGCCTTTTATACCCAAAACTGAGGCCCTATTTTTTTCACCCTCTAAAGTGCAATGACCCCTCCTTGGGTTTCCGTGGTGGTATCACTGCGGAAGTAGATTGCCCAACCTTCCTTCTGAGGAGTGGCTGGTGGGTTTGAACCACCAGCCTTCTGGTTAGCAGTCAAATGCCTTAGGCACTATGCTACCAGAGCTTCTCCCTCTGATCTAGCTCCACCCGATGTTCCTCATCTCAGTTAATAGCAGTTTCACTCCTTTAGTCCATTGTAAAGGCAAAAAACTTTGGTTCCTAACTTCCCACAGTCAATCCATCAACAAATACCAGCATCTTTATCTTTTAAGTATATGTAGACTGACATTTTCATGTTATCTTTCAGTGTCAACCCTTATCCTTCTGTTGTCCATTAACTCTCCTCAATTATTTCAGTAGTCTCTTACTGGTCTCTATTTCCACTCTTGCTTTTTTAGCCTATCCTCCCTGATGCAGCCACAGTGATCTTTTAAATAAGTCAGATCATGTTACTCTCATGCTTAAAGTCCTCCAGTGTCTTCCAAGTTTGGAGAAATGAAATAGCCAGGTCTTATAGAGGCTTACATGTATAGAGGCTTACATGTATAGAGGCTTACATGTATAGAGGCTTATTTGTGGCTATTTAATGTGGTTATTTAATGTCTCCAGAACAAGCACTCTGTTTTGTTTTCTATCATTTCCCTCACACTAAGCACAGTATTTGGCACAGCACTGACATATACCTATCTATTGAATGACTGGCCATGAAGCTGTCAATCAGCCAGTGGAAAGCCATGTAACGCTTCCATCCTAGTTTCTGGTTCCATTTTTACCTCCTATTCTGAGCTTCAGGAGAATAGTTTGATAAAAATCTCTTTTTTTCTGCCAAGAACTTCCCTTTACTATTGGGGAAATGGAGAAGGGTGATGCATTTAAGGCCAGCACAGGGCTATTTTTTCTTCCTTTCTTTTAATGAGGACATTTGTGTATAATGTGCCTCTATAATTCCAGACTTTATCCATAAATGGTGGTAAAGATGGCATGTATCTTCGTTATTACCATTTTGTTGTTGATTTTAACCAGGTACACATCTAAACCTACAGAAAACTTGGTCTATGCCCTTTTTCTTAAATGGCCCACATCAGGATTGCTATTTCTTGGCCAACCCAAAGCAACTTGGGGTTCAACAAAGGTAAGATGGAATTTTGTTATCTTTATTGTACCTTCAAATTGTTGCTTAGGATAGCCTAGGAAAATATAACTTGTTTTAAGAAGAGTCTTTATACACTTCTTTTATACTTTATAGGAGTAACTTTAAAATGAGCTTCATCAGTAGCAATGTTTGGCCAAAACCCTTGAAACTTTTATTCTTTCATTTCTCAGAAAACCAAACTTAAAATAAATAAATAAATAAATAAAAGGGCTATATTATCTCCATGCATATCACTGCAAAGTAGGTATTATTCTTCACAGTAATTGTGTTGTTCACCTTGAGCTGCATGCATCCAAAATGATTCTTTGATCAAACTGGAATTCAGATGTTTCTCCCGACATCCCACCCCAGGACACATCTGAATATTAGGACCCTTCTTTTAAAATTTATAAAAATACTTTGCAGAAAGTTTAAGCATAATCTACCAGTTGTAATCACCAATGCCAGACCTTATTTTGATACATGTTATACCTTATTATTAAGAAATTGATGACCCATGGGAGGTGAATGGACTATATAAAACATCTTTCCATATTTATGCCTAATCTTTGTGGTTGATCAGACAGAAAGAAGATGGAGTTTAAATCTAATATTTAGTTACAGCTAGAAGCCTGAATATGACACTGATTACTTTTTGTTTTCTCTCTGTTCTCATCCACACTGACTAAATGATACTTTAAAGTTTAAAGGTTTTTTCTTTTTTTTTTTTTTTTGTTCCACCTGATAAGCAAAACTTTCTGGTTCAAAATAACCCCAGGACATGTAAAAACTACTTATTGAATTCATTTAGTAAGGATACATAACAATTACAGTCATAACTGAAAAAACTCATGTCTTATTGACTTGATTTCCAGGGAATCTGGGGAGGAACAGTGGCTGGATGGGGGTGGGGGTAGCTTCTCTCAAAACATCCTGGGTAAGAAATGGGCAAGGTTAGTTTGGTTGACAGGTTCCAGAGTTATTTTTCTACCATATCCTCTCTTTACATCGTTCCTCCCATCTGACACTCCATTTGGCCTCAGTTCTTCCCCAACTAATGTGCACTATCATTTCCCTCTTGTGAGTAATATAGGAACAAGTTAGATGTATGAAACAAGAATTAAAAATGTAAAAATGAATTCCGTCTTAATGCTTTTTAAAAAATGCCATCCCAATAAAGTAGGTGAATCAAAGTGATGCACTGGTAACATTTGTGTATTTTTTACTTCAGGTAAAACTACTGGGACATGGACAGCCACTTAACTGGACTTCCTTGGAACAAACTGGCATTGTGGTAAAACTACCACAGCTCACCACTAGTCAGCTTCCCTGTAAATGGGGCTGGGCGCTAGCACTAACTCATGTGATCTAATTAATGTGCTGCGGAGTGGTCAATGTTGCACATCTAAGAATGGAAAACATGAGGTTTTTGTAATTGTAGCACATGGAGAAAACAAATGTAAAATTGGTCAAGAAAAACCCAGTAATTATTTAGGTAATTCAACCCTCTTCCCTTTTCTCCTTAAATTCTTTAAATTACCCATGTAATTGTTTGAACTCTCCAGTGCACTTTGCTATTAAAGTCTTTTCATAATGAATTTATATGTCTGATTCAACAGTGGGAGATATTTTTAGAGTAGCTAAAAATTTGTGGTATATAACAAATTTGGCCTAATATATATATTTCCAATAGTTGGTTTTTTTTTTGTAATTTTTTTCCTTTTGATTATAAAACTGATCATGTTTACTCTAAATAGGTTGAAATATCCAGACATCCTCAAAAAACCCAGAAATTTCTCATAAACTTACCACTAAGTTAATTACTATTAATATCTTACTACGTATTCTTACAGTTTTATCTTGGTGGGGAAAGAGATTTAAGATGTGGATCAGTTTTTAGAGATGGGCTCATTTGAAGTTCAACTAAAATTTATCAATTTGCTTATGGTATTTGTCTTCAACAAACTGAAGTTGTAAACCTAGCTGAAAATTAGGTAGTCTATCCAGATCTTCCCGAAGAATAAAGCAAAAAAAAAAAAAAAACCAAATCAAACTCACTGCTGTCGAGTTAGATCCAACTCATAGTGACCCCTCCTTGGGTTTCTGAGGTGGTATCACTACGAAAGTAGATTGCCCAGTCTTCCTTCTGAGGAGTGACTGGTGGGTTTGAACCCCTAGCCTTCTGATTAGCAGTCAAATGCTTCAGGCATTATGCCACCAGAACTCCTTAAAGCAAAAGTGATACTAATTTTGATACAAATTGAAAGAAAATTGAATAAAGCATTCACTCCCCCCAACAAAAGGTGATCACTCATTTACTTGAAGTGCTACAAGTTTCATTTGGTCACATCAGTCAAATTCAGACAAAAATTTTTGTTTAGTATGCTTCAAATAGAGTATAAAATGAAACAGTTCATTATATTTTTACTAAAATCATGCTAAAGTTTAAAAACTTGGAAAAAAAAAAGAAAACAAAAACAAAAACCCCAAAACAAAAACCCTGTTCATTTTGAAGTTCTACAACTATCAAATTTTTGAAACCAGGCCAAAGTATTTACGTAGATACTTTGATAGTTCTAAATCTCAATGAGCATTTTATTAGAGATTCAGTGTGCATGTTTTTACATGATCCCAAACACTAGACAAAGAGAAAACAAAAACAAAAAAGGGAACCAAACTAAAGCAAATAGAATTATAGGAACCTTAACAGAAAAGTAGGATCATCTTTTTGTTTTAATAAGAATTCTGTAGAGTAAAATCTGTCAACAGCCTAAATTCCTACCCTATATACCTTACCAAATTGAGAAAAAAAGGGGCAAAATAGAAATATTTATGTAAATTATGTTTACATACAGGTTTTAGTTAATGAGTAGCTATGACTAAATGACAGATACAGGTCAGCATCCAGAGAATCACTGATAGAATACTTAGGCCCAACTAGACACTATATATGAAAACCTCAAATATGAGACTTTAAATTTAAATCTATTTAAGGTCCATTTGTGCTTACATGTGAAATGTACTATGTATGTTTATCGTAGGATTTTAAAAGGACCTCTGGTAGCATATTCCTAAGGCACTTGACTGCTAACCAGAAGGCTGGCGGTTCAAACCCACCAGCCACTCCTCAGAAGGAAGGGTGGGCAATCCTACTTCTGTAGTGATACTGCCTTGGAAACCCAAGGAGGGGTCACGATGAGTTGGGGCCGACTCGATGGCCTATAACAACAATAGGATTTCAAAATTTCATCAGATTCTTACGATTACCTGTGGTATGAGTAATTAAAAATCAGACATCTTATTATCTAATTTAAGCCAACAGTTTTTATCTCCCCAAACAATCTTTTTATCACATTAATAGGTACAAAATCATCATGTTTGAATCTCTGTAACTTCACTTGCATTTAATTAGAGAAATATTCAGGGTAAACCAAATCATATTGTTAGATGGAATAATCCAGATATGGATATCACTTCAATAAAATTCTATCTCATTTTCTTATGAGTGCCATATTGAAGCAACACAACTGCTGTAGAGTCGGGCTATTCAGATAAATTTGAATTAGGACAACAGGAAGCAAAACACGTTTTGCCTTCTATTCCTTCTGTTTTTGTAAGTAAAAGATCTGGTTAGATCAAAATCTTCCTAACTTTCAAACAAACAAGTGCTCATATCAAATTTTAAATGCAAGCATTTTTTATACACACACGGTAATAAACATGCATATAAAAGTTCACAAAAGAAAAAGTAGAAGCTGTTTTAATAATCTCCATTTAACCAATGACCTAGATGAAGGGATGTTTTCCATGCCCTTGGGAAAGCTTACTGATTGATGCCTGGGGTCAGCTGCAGGGTTTCAGTTAGATTGGTAAACCCTACACTTGGGGTATCACTTGCTACGCTGTTCATTGGGTGTTCTGCCAGTGTACTGCCTAAGGCACTTGACTGCTAACTAGAAGGCTGGCGGTTCTAAACCCACCAGCCACTCCTCGGAAGGAAGATGGGGCAATCTACTTCAATAGCGATACTGCCTCAGAAACCCAAGGAGGGGTCCCTTATGAGTCAAGTCTGACTAGAGGCCACATAACAACAACAATAACATATAACAACAACAACACCACCATTCATTTACCAAGAGCTAGTTGAGTTTGTTGTTGTTGTTGTTGTTAAGTGCCGTCGAGTCGTTTCCGACTCATAATGACCCCATGCACAGCAGAATGAAACACTGCCTGATCCCGCGCCAGCCCCACAATCCCTGCTATACTTGAGCCCATCATCGCAGCCACCGTATCAATCCATCTCGTTGAAGGCCTCCCCCTCTTTCGTCGACCCTCCACCCTACCAAGCATGACATCCTTCTCCAGGGAATGGTCCCTTCTTACAACATGACCAAAATAGGTGAGATGAAGTCTGGCCATTCTTGCTTCCAAGGAGCCATTCTGGCTGCACTTCCTCCAGGACAGATCTGTTAGTTCTTTTAGCAGTCCACGGTACTTTCAGCATTCTTTGCCAGCACCACAACTCAAAAGCATCAACTCTTCTTCGGTCTTCCTTATTCATTGTCCAGCTCTCACATGCATACCAGGCGATTGGAAATATCATGGCTGTGTCAGGCACACCTTAGTCCTCAATGAGATATCCTTGCTCCTCAGCACTTGAAACAGTTCCTTCGCAGTTGACTTTCCCAATGCTACACATCGTCTAATGTCCTGACTGCTGCTTCCGTTGGCATCGATTGTAGAACCAAGCAACGTGAATTCCTTGACAACCTCAATCTTCTCTCCATTTATTGTGATGCTGCTCATTGGTCCAGTTGTGAGGATTTTTGTTTTATGTTGAGATGTAATCCATACTGCAGACTGTATTCTTCAACCTTCATCAGTAGGTGCCTTAAGTCATCCTCACTTTCAGCAGGCAAAGTTGTATCGTCTGCATATCTCAGGTTGTTAATGATTCTTCCTCCAATCCTGATACCACGTTTTTCTTCATATAGTCCAGCTTCTCGGATTATTTGCTCAGCATATAGATTGAATAAGTGTGGAGAAAGAATACAACCCTGACACACTCCCTTCTTGATTTTAAACCACGTAGTGTCCCCTTGTTCTGTTCGAACGACAGCCTCCTGGTCAAGGTACAGATTCCTCATGAGTACAATCAAGTGCTCGGGAATTCCCATTCTTCTCAATGTTATCCATAATTTGTCATGATCCACACAATCAAATGCCTTTGCATAGTCAATAAAACACAAGTAAACATCTTTCTGGTATTCCCTTCCTTGAGCCAAGATCCATCTGACAACAGCTATGATATCCCTTGTTCCACGTCCTCTTCTGAATCCGGCTTGAACCTCTGGAAGTTCTCTATCAATATACTGCTGCAAACATTTCTGAATTATCTTCAGTAAGATCTTACTTGCATGTGATATTAATGATATTGTTCTATAATTTCTACATTCTGTGGGATCACCTTTCTTTGGAATGGGCACAAATATGGATCTCTTCCAGTCAGTTGGCCCGGTAGCTGTCCTCCAAATCTCTTGGTATAACTGAGTGAGTGCCTCCAATGGGGCATCTGTTTGTTGAAATATCTCAATCGGTATGCCATCAATTCCCGGAGCCTTGTTCTTCGCCAGATCTTTCATTGCAGCTTTGACTTCTTCCTTCATTACCATTGGTTCTAGATCATATGCCACTTCTTGAAATGGGTGAAGATCAATCAGTTCTTTTTGGTACAGTGACTCTGTGTATTCCTGCCATCTTCTCTTGATGTTTCCTGCATCATTCAATATTTTGCCCATAGAATCTCTCAATATTGCAACTCAAGGCTTCAATTTTTTCTTCAGTTCTTTCAGTTTGAGAAATGCTTAGCGTGTTCTTCCTTTTTGGTTTTCAGACTCCAGGTCTTTGCACATTTCATTATAGTAATTGGCTTAGTTGAGTTTGTTACCAAAGTGAAATTAAAATTATGATTATATAACCTGATGACATGAGTTTCTATGAAAGCAAAGTTGAATGCTTTGGAAAAAGTAATAAAAATGTGTTGTCTTTTTTTTTAAAGCTATTAAGTGTGGGCAAAACAGTTCTAACCTACTGAGGGAAAATATTGTAAAAACCATAGAATTCTTTACCCTGGTTCACAACTATATAATGGACGTGGTTTATAGGCCCAGGTCCTTCATTAAATAACTGGCAAATAAATTGGTATTTATATTTTAAATTAAAATGTCTCAGGATATATGTGTTACACTTTTATGACACTGTTTTCACTGACTGTTTGGATTGACCAAAAAGCTAATGGTCCCAAGCAAGATGGCTCCTCTCGCCCTATTAGAAGGCAAATCTGTAATGTCTAAGGCCAATTAACTAGTATTG